AATTTTTATATATTATTAAATAAGTGAATGCACTAATCAGTATCATTAGTACTAAATAAATAAAAAGAGTCAATTATTTAAATAATACTTAAAATTTTATAAAAAAGTTTTTTCTTATGTCATTTTCCTTTTATAATTAACTACTAATGAATTTGAAATAATTTTTTTTTCTTTGTAAAAGAATTTAAAATAATTTGAATAAAGATTTCTAACTTTACTAGAGAAAATTGTCTCTCTAAATTTGAGTAAATTGGCATCATATATATATATATATATATATATTTCATAAAAACAAAATGGAGTAAATTGGTATCCTATATATATATATATATATATCCATAAAAAACAAAATAAGGTACACAATGAAAAAGCACCTGGTCCTTCGAGCCAAGTGGCCTTCGAGCTATTTTAGAAGTGCACTCTCCCTCCCCCTAGTGAATTCGAATCCACCCTTGTCAACTTGTTAAAAAAAAAAGAGTACACAATGGAGGAAAAAAAAAGCTCTCCAACTTCAAAGGAAAAAAAAAGGGTCACTATGATTTACAAACGGACAATTAGACCTACTAGAGGTTGGTATATAACAAGCATAGAAAAGAAAAGAAAAGAAAATATATATTACTTTCACTTTGTTTTAAACTAATATTTGTTTTCTATTGAAGATATGTCTTAAACTAATTATCATTGTTAAAGGTGAATAAATATTTTTTTTTCACTTTAACCTTATTATGATTGTTTAAGTTTTTTTTTTTTTTTTTTGGTCTCTTATCACCATAATATTCTCTTTCTTAATTATTTCATACACCTAAAGTCCTAACCACCATTTGTGTCCCCATAAAAAAATAAATAATAATAATAATAATAAAATACATGAATGTCGCGTAAGTTCATAAATTACTAATACATCTTAACATATAAAACCAAAGTGTGTTGGACATTTATGAATCTCCTCAGAACAACCCTACCAACATGTATTTTTCGGGGAATTCTACCAAAAGAAAAAGACAATTTTAAATGAAAACATGGTCCACACAAGGTACAACATAAATTACTAGTACATCTTACATATAAAACCAAAGTGTATTGGACATTTATGAATCTCCTCAAAACAACCCTACCAACATATATTTTTTGGGAAATTCTACCAAAAAAAAAATGACAATTTTAAATGAAAACATGGTCCACACAAGGTAGAACATCCCAAGAGGAGACCAATAAGACAATGAACCGACACACCTCAGTGTACGTAAATTGTAAGACTATAAGTCAAGAGTACTTTAAAAAGTATCAACTAATGCAATTAACAATTTACCTAAAAACTATGAGACTATGTAAATAAATTATTATTCCTTTTTTTGAAAATAAAAAATCAAGAACTCATATTTTATTACCAAAAAAAAAAAATTAAAAGGATTCAAAATCTTGTTATTTCCATATAGGAAAAAAAAATGCGGGCATCCTCCCAAGTTTAAGTATTCATGAGATTAGTATCCCTTTTTATAATATTACATTAGTATTCAAATTAATAGGTTTAATTTGATAACATTGATTTGTAATTGTAGTTATAGATTTTTTTGATTCTTTAACATTTCAAAAATATATAAAATATATTTAATGTATTTAATATTTATTTTAATAAAAATTTTATATATTTTTAAAATAATAAGACATAAAAAATTAAAAGTTAAAATACCCAAAAGTGAACGAAACCTTAAACTTAACTGGATGAGATTCTTTGAGATATTGCTAAGATTGAAGTATAAACTAATCCAAAAGTACTTTAATGGTAAATAAAAAAATAAATTAAAAATTTATTCAACCAAAAATACTTTAATTGTAAACAAAAAAATAAAAAAGACTATAAATTTGGAGTCATGAGTATTTTCCATCTTATTTTCCATTTTTCTTCTTTCAAACGAAAATGTAATTTCAGGGGAGCTCCCTATAGTTATGTCCATCACAGCTTTGACATGCTTTTATAGAGTATTTGTAAGTTAAAAAGAATGAAGGGAAATAAATTTTTTTAATTAATTAAATTATAATATTTATAATAATTTTTTTCTCTCTCCATTTTTTCTTCATCCAACTGCAAGGTTTGTCTTTACAGCTTTCAACCGCGTGCGGAATAATTCTAATTCCATTGGTCCGCCGTGTGATATGCCACACCGTTGGCAGATGGGTATTTTCGTAAATTCAAATATAAATTTTGATTCCACTTTTACTCCTCCACTTCTAGAAGCCAGAGGGCAGTTGAAGTTCATTCCGCGCGTAAAAAAGGAAAGCTCGTTAACATCAACGCCGTATTGGTTGGAGTGAAAAATATTAATTTTTTTAAATAAAATTTTTAATTTAAATTTTATAAATATAAAAATAAATATTAAATTTTTTTTTATAAAATTTGATATAATTCAATTTTAAATTAATCAAAACGTAATATAATTTTTTAATACGGTTAGTAAAAAAATAAAAATAAAAAATCCATTTGGACAACAACAGGGGTAAAACTGGAAGCACATTGGGTATAAAAGCGACCTCCGCGACCTCTTCTTCATATCGTTGCTCAGCTCGTCTTGGTCTATACCCACCGCTGTGTGTTGTCCCTCTCCGACGAGCAATTGTTCAGGTGAGCGAGCTCGATTCCCATTTTCCAATTCCTTTTCTTCTTCTTGTCCTGCATTTGATTGTTTTATCGTTCCCGTTTGCGCGGATTTCTTCTTCTTGAATAGAGTTTCTGTTTTCCCGACGAGAAAACTGAGTTTATTTGCTTGATCTGAACTAGTTTTGGACGCAATCATGCTTTCTCTTCCTTTTCGAGTCTATTTTGTGTGATGCGAAGTAGATTATTTTGTTTTTTGTATGATTTTGAACCCTTTTTAAGCGTAGCTAGGCAGATCTAATTCCCAGGTTGTCGGTTTTGATCTGGATCTGTGATTTGCGTTGTGTATTCATGTTGGAGATTTACATATTTGTGTTTTGATTATGAAATTCCAATTGCAACTTTGAGTCGAGATGATTGTTTACGGATCTGGATTGAATTTTATTGATTTCTCTTGCTTCTCGTTCAAATGCTGGATCTATCATGTCTGTTATATGCTCTAATTTATTGATCTGTTAATACTTGCGTATGTAAAGGAAGAGAAATGTTAGCATTTGCATTTTCTACTCAGATGTGATATTCTATTTGCTGTTTTATGCCACTTGTTGAATTTAACTTTCCCTTGCCTTGTTACCGAGAAAGTGCCTTCCAGGAATTATTTAATGGATCTTTGTAGAATTTTTATGGTCTTTGATTTTGAAAATAATTCTTAAGAGAAAAGAAAGAAATGCTAGCTTATGAGTTATAATATTACTTCATCGGTGCTGTTGTTTTTTTGATATGTTTTTGTCTGATATATGGACGTTGGTCTTTGTTTAGTTTATTTTAGTATTTAAGGAAAATGGTGAAGATCTGTTGCATTGGAGCCGGTTATGTGGGTGGGCCTACAATGGCAGTTATTGCCTTGAAGTGCCCATCTAT